AAAAAAAAAAGAAATAAAAACAACAACAATAAAGATTAAATTTGTGTCCTGGGAGAAATATGAAGCAACTAAGATGACTAAGAATGATAAATGATGTGAAAAGTGTGACAAAACATTTTTAATGATAAGGAACTAATATGATCTTATGTTCGTCATCTCTTGAAGTCGAATTCATCAAGATTCAAGTCCTGAGATTTGATTGTGAAATGGCTAGTTTGGCGCTACTTGTGTACAAATAGAGTTGGTTATTTTCAGTTTCTGCGCAACTTGTATACACTAGAGTTGGTTATTTTCATTTTTGCGCTAGTTCCGTACCCTTATACTTCTCTCTTAATAGTTGTTCGATCAATTTATGAGCTAACTCGATGCTTCAGCCAAAAGGAAAAGGAACAAAGAAACTCTGTATCATAACCAAATCTGAGTTATTAACTTATTATGATCTAGTTTAGCAATAGAAATATTTTTTGATCTTTGATCAATTCATATGTATAGTTTAATTTTTACTTATGCTTTCAGTTTGACTGCTAATTATATGAGTTCGAACATACTTTCGCTAAAATTATTTTTGATCTATGATCAATTCATATGTATAGTTTAATTTTTACTTATGCTTTCAGTTTGACTGCTAATTATATGAGTTCGAACATTGGTACTTTTCTTGTGTTTGTTTTTTTTAATCTACCTTTGAGATAATTTGGATCAATTAGCTTGAATTTGTTTTCTAGTTTATACTGTGGAATATCTATTTCTATTTTTCAAGTGAATAAGCTGATAGATCATGTAGGAAATTTAACTACTTAACTCAGCAACGCTCGGAAAGAAGAGAAGGAAACAGAAAAAAAAGGAAAATATTAGAATTAGTTGTCAAATTAATTTCTTGATGTTCATGTTCCTTTATGCTTTTTTTTTTTAAGCATTGATTTAGGTTCTTTCTCCTTGTTTTCTGGGGATTACTCTGTTGTGTGTTATGTTTCTCTTTTAAAAAAAAGGCTATCGATAGTCCAGTTTCTGAAATGAATCAATTGAAGGGCAAATTGTGCTCGTTTATTATTATTTTTTAATGGCTATTTTCTGATTGGTGACTTCTAAGATTGGACTTTTGGAAGTTCAAATTGCGTTCTTCATAATACATACAGTTTGCCCTTCTTTGCTCGTCTTTTTTTTT